CTTTGAATTTATGATTCTGAAACTCTTGTTTAAAGTTGAAGCTTGTTTAATTTGATCTTGACCTTTGTATAAGTGGAACCTTAATTTGGACTTTGAATTATCTTGTTTGTGCATTGAGAGTGATTGCATGACTACCAATATACATATTTGGATCATCTTCTTCTTTTTCACCACTCTTGTTGATCCAAGTAGCCGATCCTCATCATTAAGGGACAGTTAAGCTTACCTTGAACCAATCCTTCCTTCTAAACCCAAACACTATTGTGAGAGTTTGTGAGGCATTGCATCATCATTTTTGAACTTATCTTGGCAAAAAGTGTTAGGAATAAGGCTGGCAAGGAAAAGCTCTCTTGTAGACATCAGCTTGCATTTAGAGCTTGATACTAGGTTAGGAGTTTTGGGAAAGGGTAAAATTAAATGGTTTAAGCTTTAATTGTTTGTATCTTTTTAGAAGAGAAGAAGAGTGGGAATGCTTTCATGAAGAGAATGATATTTTGGGAAGATAATTGTATATTATGGTTAAGAAGAAAAAGCAGATCAAGAAATCCACCAAAGAGGTGATGAAAGATGGTGCCTATACAACATAGAAGAGCAAGTTTAAAAGAAGTCAGCCACATAAGCAAAAGAAGAAGAAGTTCCCCATATTTCAAGAAGAAAAAGATCAAAAGAACTTTGGGAAAGGGTAGATTTAGAGGTTCAACTTGGGAATTAGTGATATATCATGGTTTTTATGGTTTTTAACCATGATATAAGTCCTTTTTATTGAGTCTTTTTGGTCTTTTTAGAGTCCTAGAAGAGTCTTCGCAGGTTATAGCATGTCTAGAGCACAATTGGAGATATTGGAGCCTTTTGGAGCATTCTGAGTTGAAGCCACGAAGTATCCAACTCGGGAAGAAAAGTATGCATATGGGTGAAGCTCGTCACCACTTTTGGTGACGCTCGTCACCCAGAAAGGAAGGGGTCGTGGCTGTTTTCTAAAAGATAGAGGATTATTTGCAGTTTTGGCCCATAAGTTCCAGTATTTGCAAAAAGACCCTAGATCGTGTTTTAGCTTGTATATTAGGTTTTTCAGCCATTCTTTTGGCAGATATCTTGTATCTTATTATTCTAGAGAGCTTTAGAGAGAGATTTTTGTAGCAGAGCTTTTGGAGAGACAAATCAGACTCCTTCAGAGCAGATTTTGAACTCTTTTATTTCTACTTCTTATTTCTTTTATGCAATCTATTCTTTTCATGATGTTTTCTCAAATCACCATGTCTGAGTAGTTTATTAGTTAAGTTAGGGCTTTTCAAAGGTTGAAGAAGAGTTTGTAGAATTGCTAAAAACTTATAGGAAATTCATTGGTTCTTCATCTGTGCTTGCATTCATATCGATTTCTTAGACACATCATCTGGATTTCGAAACCCTAGGTTGTTTGATAGATGTGAGAGCATTATTAATCACTTGAACTAGTATTAGATGAGCAAAACGCCCTAGTACAAAGAGATTTGGCTTAGGAGTTTTGTGAACAATTGAACCTGATCATTACTGCATGTTTAGGTTGTTAGGGTTTGCAAAGAGATTTGAAACTCTGTAATTTAGACATACATAACTTCTGCAATGAGAATTGATTAGTTATATCTTTGCGATTCATGTTCAAGACGGTTTTAATTCATTCCTGATTGCATGCATTCTACACTCTCGGATTCAACCTGCGAACTGTCCTGACTTAGCGCCTTTAGCTTTCTGAACTTTAAGAACAAGCATAAAAACGCCTCTTGCATTTATTTTACTGTTTTGCATTACATTCATTAATTATCGCTTAGCTTAATCTGAATCTATAATCGCTAGTGTGGTTTACATACTCCCTTGGGATTCGATAACCCCTTGTACTACAACTGCTTTTGCTGTGCACTTGCAGTAGTTTTATTTGGGTAAAACCTGACCCTATCAAGTTATTTGGGTAAAGCTTGCATTTAGAGCTTGATACTAGGTTAGGATTTTTGGGAAAGGGTAAAGTTAAATGGTTTAAGCTTTAATTGTTTGTATCTTTTTAGAAGAGAAGAAGAGTGGGAATGCTTTCATGAAGAGAATGATATTTTGGGAAGACAATTGTATATTGTGGTTAAGAAGAAAAAGCAGATCAAGAAATCCACCAAAGAGGTGATGAAAGATGGTGCATATACAACATAGAAGAGCAAGTTTTAAAAGAAGTCAGCCACACAAGCAAAAGAAGAAGAAGTTCCCCATATTTCAAGAAGAAAAAGATCAAAAGAACTTTGGGAAAGGGTAGATTTAGAGGTTCAACTTGGGAATTAGTCATTATTAGGATCATCTTTGGGGAAAGGGTAGAAGAGCTTTGACTTGCATGCACAAGTGTGCTTTTACCTTTAGCATTTTGCCTAAGATAGATTCATTTCATATGAGAGATCCCTTGTTCCTTTAAACCCAATATGCATGAGATCATTTTCATCTCATAACCATATCCCTTAAACCAAATGCTTTCACTTGATTTGCACAAACTTGATCCATTGGTTACTTGCTAATTGAATGTTAAAAAGGTCAAGTGATTTGAGAGCTTGTGTAGATTGATAACTTGGGAATCATTTTCATTTTGTGATGAATGTGACTAAGTTTTAGAGTACAGTTCCGTCATTTGCATTCTAGAACTAGAAACATGGACATCATTTTGATCTATTGTTAGCATTTTAATGATATGAGTTCCCGTCTTAAAACCTCATCACCATGTTTAATCTTTTATTTGCTTGAGGGCAAGCAAAAACTAAGTGTGGGGGTGTTGTTAGCTTGCTATATTATAGCATTTTAGGCTACATTTCATGCATCTTTTCCCTTGTTTTTGCATTATAGTTTAGCATTTTAGACTCATTTGGACTTATAATCAACTTTGCATTCATTTAGCTTAAAAATGCATACATTTTCATATATTTGCATGTTTATGGTGACTTTCAGGTGTTTTGGAGGTTCTTGGAGTTCGGAAGGAGATGAAAGCAACTCATGTTGGAAGCAGATGCCAAAGAAGGAGCTTTGCAAACTCTGTGTCCATATCGAGGTCCAGCATCGAGCAGAACATCCATGAAGCTTGCTCGATGTGAAGCGTGGGATGAGGAAGAAGGATTTGACAAAGGACTCCGAGACTGCACCAGGGTAGTGCACCGAGCTGAGCATGCCGTACAAGCCGATACGAAGTGACAGGGCATAACGAGGTCCCTCATCGAGCTGAACACCAGACCAAGTGCCTGATACAACCCGAGACTTGCTGTATGCTGAAGTAACCAGTGAGTGACTGAACCCCGGCGTGAGCTATTCTGCATCGAGCTGGCCACATCGAGCAGAACACCTAACCATGCACCCTGATGCGTCAGCGCCGAGAGTTGACCAAGCTTTTTCTACTTTTTGTCAAACCTTATTTTTGGCTTATTTAAGCTAAACCTTATCTTTTTTAGCACTTATCTTCTTCTTTATCTTATTTTTCGACCTTAGGGGAATCCCAAAAGAGGATTTAATGAGATGTTGATCAAGATCACTCTTTTAATAAAGTTTTGCACTTCCCTTTTTATTTTCTTTCTAGTTCTTGTTTAATCATGTTTGATCTGTCTTTTCTGCTTGTTACTATTGATTTCATGATGTACTGTGAGAAGTTTCATATGGTTTGAGGTTGGAGCATATTTGGGGATGATTGGTTGATAGCTTAGGGAGTTTTGGTTTGATTCATGCTTAGATCACTTAACTTAGTTGTCCTTAGTGCTTAGTAACTCTTTCCCTCGTTCTGTATCTGAGTTCTTTCGAATTTCTCGTATCGTTTTTCGTGGATTAGCATCTCGAGGTTCTTTGATGGGCAGGGTGAAACTGATCTTAGGTGTTTGCTGCATCACAAGTGTTTGTTTAAATGCATGAAAGAACTTTGTTAGGAACATTCTCCTAGATGATTATATTGGCGTTTAGGTAGCATGTTTGGTCTATAAGAGTCTTGTGTTTTCATGCTGGTTTTGCACAAATACGCCATCACAAGTGGGTTTGACATGTGCTTAGCTTAGACATCTCTGTTCTGTTTGCAGATTGATTGATTTAGTGGCTTGGTTATGTTATGTGCTTGTTATTGGTCTTGATTATCCTAAGTTTGATACTAAGTAATCCTCAAGTCATCATTGCTCTAGCCTTGAACCAGCGCCTCATTGATCCTTGCATTTGATCATCTTGTGCTCTGTTTTCCTCTGTTTTAAGTTGCTTGCTTTTGTTTTATTTCTTGTCTTGCATCTCAAGTTATTACACTTAGCTTTCATTTTGGTTCTTGCACTTCCATTGCTTTGTTTACCTTAGTCATGTTGCATCTAGATCATTTCCTTTTTAGTTGATGTTGCATTGAGTTTCTTTGCATTGCATTGCTTGCCTTGGTCTTGTTAGTGTTGTTTTTCACTTTTGAATTTCATCTTTGATTACTTTGGTTGTTAGAATCATTCCTTTTTCATCATATATGGTTAAGCTTAGTTCGTGTTTTGTATTTTTTTTATTCTAGCTCCTAGATGGTTTGATTAAACTGTTTATATACTACATCTGCTTAGAGAGGGATTGAGTTAAAACTTGCAAAAATTCTTCTTTAAATACCATTACAGAACCATCCGATTTTGGAAGAAAGAAAGTGACAAAAACAATGGGTGTTAGAAAAAAAATATATATTTGAAATAAAGAAAAAAAAATAAAAATAAAAATGAAGACTTATCTTTTTTCATTGGTCATCGAACTAATTACTAACAAAAAAATTTAGTTGGCAAAATGTGGTAATAAATTAAAAAAAATGTATATTAGATATTTCAAATATAACAGATACAATAAAAATAAAAAAAATACCTAAAATATAAAAAGTATCTGTTTTTATAATGGTTATTAGAAAAAATATCTCTGTCTAATAAATTAAACTTTCTAAAACCTAAAAAGATTCGTTACCTTAAATATGTGGAAAGTGTATTTGTACAATTGTGAAAGCTTTTATAAAGTGTTAGTAGGACCTATGACGATTGACAGTGCAAAAAAGATAAAGAAGAAAGACGTGGCGGCACTAACGCGTTGGTTCAGCGTCACCTCCGTGTGACTCATTGCGAAAGAAAAGTCACCATCCTTAGTCTTTCTTATATATTTCCAGGCCCATCTCAGATCCAATTCAGAATCAGCTCGCTCGTGTTACTTAAAACAGAACAAGAAGATTCTTCAAAGCAACAACTTCGAAAAGTGTAAGGTAAATATAGTTCATTTCTACTTATATTTGAAAAATATTCAATTCTGATTGATATACCTTGAATTTCCAGTTTTCTCTATCAGCAATTTTCTTGATAGATCTGAAATCTTGGGTTCTTGCTTGGTAACTTTTGTTTGTTTGTTCTCATGTTCTAAATGGTGAATTAATCTGAATCTTGTTCTGTCTTAAGCTGTTTTCTCTAGCTTCTCTGTTACTTCTATATGTATTCTTATTTAATTTTGGTTTATAATGAAACCATTACTCTTCTTGCCAACAAATACAAATCATATAGCTCTTTTTTATCAAGAACAATTTTACAAAAATATATAATAGCTTTTTTCGTGTATAAGGAAATTATGTCATCAAACGAAGAAAATGTCAAGAAAGAGAAACTTCATGTTAAAATGAAGACGGAGGAATTAGATCCCAACGAGAAGGGAGAGAATGTTGAGGTGGAGATGGAAGTTAAGGCCAAGTCTGTTGAGAAGGTTAAAACAAAGAAAAACGAAGAAGAGAGTGGAGAGAAATCAAAGAAGGAAAATGAAAAAGAAAAAATAAAGGGCAAGAAGGATGACCCAAAGGTAGAAGAAGATAAACATGACAAGAAGAAAGATGAAGAAAATGTTTCCAAGAAACATGGGGAACATGAAGAAGGTCATGGAGATATGGAAACGGAAGAGAAAGATAAGGAACACAAGAAGGAAAAGAAGGGTAAAGAGAAGAACCAGGAGGATGTATCGCAACAAAAGGAGTTAAAAGAAGAGGGAGAAGGTAAAAAGAAGATTAAAGAGAAGGATGAATCAGGCGCAGAGGGAAAAAAAAAGACGGATAAAGAGAAGAAACCGAAAGAAGAATCCAAGAGTAAGGAAGACAAGAAGAAGAAAAAAGAAGAGAAGGATGAGCCTAAGGAAGAAGTTGAAGGAAAGAAGAAGAAGAAAGAGAAGAAAGAACAAGATATGGAGGGTTTAGACTCTGATGTAAAAGTGGAAGAGCAAGATAAAGAAGACAAGAAGAAAAAGAAAGATAAAGAGAAGAAACACACGAATGTGTCAAAACAGAAGGAGGAGTTACAAGAAGAAGATGAAGGCAAAAAGAATAAGAAGAAAGAGAAAGATGAACCAGGTGCAGAGGACAAAAAGAAGAAGACAGATAAAGAGAAGAAACTGAAAGAAGACAAGAAGATAAAAAAGGGAGAGAAAGATGAGCTTGAAGAAGAAGATAAAGGAAAGATGAAAAAAGAGAAGAAAGAAGATGAAGCAACAGATCAAGAGATGAAGGAAGAAGATATTAAGGAGGGAAAGAAAAAGAAGAATAAGGATAAGGATAAGAAAAAGGAAACGGATGATATATGTGAGAAAGAAGCAGAAGATGAAGATGAGAATGAAGAAGAAATAAAGCAAAAAAACAAAAAGAAAAAAGAGCCGAAGATGAAGAAGGACGAAAAAGATAATAAAGTTGACAAGGAGGAGGAAAACATTGTCACTGAAGTATTGTCTAGAGAGATTAAATTTGAAGAGCCAGAAGCTGATCAGGAAAAGGAAGGGAAGCCGAAAGACAAGAAGAATAAGAACGTGGAGGAAGGCGCAGAGGGTGATCAAGAAGGGAAGAAAACAAAGAAGAAAGATAAAGAGAAAAACAAGAAAAAAGAATCAAAGGTTGAAGAAGAGACGAAAGCTCATACTGACGCGGATGCGAAGGACGTCAAAATAGTAGGGTCAAAAGCTGAAGATGGTGATGAAGAAAAGGGGAAAAAAGCAAAGACAAAAGAAGAAAAGAAAGACAAAGATGTAAAGAAGCTCAATGAAACCAAGAAGAAAGGTAATAACATTGGTAAGCTGAAAATGGAACTGGGGAAGATTGATGAAAAAATTGGAGCCTTAACGGAGAAAAAGACAGAAATTATGAATCAAATTAAAAAGGCAGAGGGAGAGCAATAATGAAACACGGTGAAACAGACAAGTTGAGAGCGTCTGAGAATGTAAGTAGAGACTAAGCAACATCCACATCGAAGCTGAGGCTATATGTTTCTTGGTACAGTTGCACTGTGACTTAAAAGTTTATGTTTTTGTGTGTCTGTTTGTGTTGTGTGACAAACTAATATGGTTCTTGTTTTACCTTTGATGATGTAATTTTATGTAATTCATTTTCGATCGTAGTCTTTTAAAAAAGAAAAAACTAGTCTTGTGTCTACGATCATACGAGCAAACACTAGAAACTTGCACATCTGTCTCTACTTCATGCAATTTAAAATATCACACTTCAGAGTTTAGACGATCGAAAATATAACCTGTTGTTTGAAAAATTAGAATATTAACCCAAAAAGAAAAACAATCTACTACTCTTTTTGTTAAAAAATATAAATTAGGTACAAGAAAATGTTGCCCTACAAATCTATACTATTAAAAAAGAGAATCACTAATTTAAAATATTCAAAAGCTATCATGGTATTTATAAAATATGTCATTACATTTGCTAGATAATTTCATTAATTCATTAAGGATAATTTAATGATATTATTAAACTGTCAATAAATGTATTAAATTAAATTAAATTAAATTAGTTTGTTAGCAGATAATACCAATACATTATATTTGATACTAATAAAATTCAAATTAATTTAATTTCGAAATTATTTTAAAATCTTTCATAATATCTTAACATAACTACCATATATATGGCATAAATAACTAATATAATTATATAAATTATACTATAAAAAATATATATTATATTATAATCAATTTCTTATCTATACTATTAAAAGAAAAATACTATTTTTAAATGTCTAAAAGATACTATGGTATTTACTAAATGTGATAATTTATAGTCAATGATAAATATGTAATCATTATTTTTTGGTTACATATATACATACTATGATAAAAATATTATGTAAATAATTTTTTCTGGTTTGTTAATGATTTTTTTCGAAAAATCATGGATTTGCGGATTTGACAAATACAATTTTGTAGATTTTATGGATTTTGCAAGTTTTAGTAGATTTTATAAGTTTTAGCGGAAAATATAATTTTACGAAAAAATGTCGGTTTTACAAGAAATGTGCTTTTGTAGATTTAGTAGAAACACATAATTTTAGCAATTTGGTCGTAAATCATGATTTTGTAGATATTACAGAGTTTATGGAAAAACACGGGTTTGCGGCATGCGAATAACACAATTTTGTGGATTTTATGGGTTTTACAGGTTTTAGCGAAAAAATGTTGCCAAACAGAAAAATGCGGGTTTGTGGGTTTAGTTTAGAAATTTGATCGTAAAACATGGTTTTACGAATTTTACAATTTTACGGAAAAACAAGGATTTGTGGATTAGGCGGAAAATGTGATTTTGTTGATTTTACGAAGTTTACTTGTTTTGTCGTGTTTTATAGATTTTGATAGAAAAATGTTGTTTTATAGATTTTATTAAAAATCTAGGTTTGCAGATTTGACGAGAAACGCAATTTTGCAGGTTTGACAAAATCACGTAATTTTAGTAATTTGGCCATAAATACGGTATTATGGTGTTGGGGAAAACATATTTTTTGGTTTTGTTAAAAAATGTGAGTTTACACTTTTGGCAGGAAAATATGGTTTGATGGAAAATGCTATTTTTACAGTTTCTAACGGAATTCTCGGTTTTGATACAACAACGTCATTTTACAATTTTGCAGGAAAATGCAGCTTTTTATTTCGATAGAAAACTCGGATTTTATGGTTTTGACAAAAAAAAAACTTAATTTTGTGATTTAAATTAGAGGGTGTTTTTGCCTTTTAATTTTTGATATTCAAATGATGCATCCAAACTCTATTTTTTTAGCATCTTAAATATCCAAATTTCGAGATATTATAGATTTTGTATCAGATACAACATCTATATACTGATTTAAAAATATTTAAAAGAACAATATTTGAACATGTGCATCCAAATAAGTATCTCGATATAAAAACAAACAAAACCTAAGTAAATATTGAAATCTTAATTACACACAAATAAAATATCTCTTGCATTATAAAAGATAATATTTTGAAATATATGTTACAAAATTTAACAGAAAATTCGTTAATCAAATTTTTTTTTTTAATATCAAGCCTAAATAATTTTAAAAACATAAAACCATAATATAAAATAGTTTATATAATCTAATAAAAAAAATTCCGTTTGTGCCACAATTTTAGATTTAATAATATAAGCTAATTTATTTTTGAACAGAATTTTAATATAAATTAATTTTTGCCGTGGCACAAAATCATTTTATAAAAAGAAATCCACGCAAGTGCGCGGGTCCAAAATCTAGTTTCATTGTTAGAATACATCAAGCAAAAGGTTATAAAGTAAAAGGAGACATGAACATTGTGTGATCCCCCATGTAAAAGCCCATTTTCACGTTACCATTCCAATTCTTGCGGCCAATACACATTTTACATATTTAGTAATTTGTATTCTTTTTCTGTACCCTAAACTAGCCCTGGGCATTCGGATCTTCGGGTCGGGTCGGGTCGGTTCTTTTGGGTTTCGGGTAGTTCGGATAGGGGAGATTAGGACCCATTTAGAACCCGATTAAAAATCAGGTCGGTTCGGTTCAGGTCTTCATCGGGTCGGATCGAGTCTTAAAAAAATGTAAGGAACCAAATAAGATCCGGAATTTTCAACGGGTCCGATTCAGAACCCGAAAGACCCGATTTAGACCCAAAAAATCTGAAAGACCCGATTTAAACGACTGGACTTTTCATTTTTTTTTCGTGAGTTGTTTACATACAAGGGCACTTTTCTCACTTCTGTTTACATTATAGGCACTTTCAACAATTGGGCACTTTTTGTGTTTCATAATATTGCAGTTCCTCTTTTGCCCTTAATGAACAAAGTTATTTACAAAAAGTAGAAATCTTCTTCTTCCTCCACCACCAACAATCAACCGTGAACTAATGTTATTGTACTTTATATTTCAGAATTGTTAGATAATTAAAAACATGGATTGTTGTTGCAAATGGTAAAAAAATCTAAATTTGTTATGGATGTGTTGGATCTTTGAATTTTGTCTCTCTGAGTTCGATGTAGATCAATTTTCTGGGTTCTTAGAGAAAACTGTGATTTGATGATGTTTGTTTTTTGGTATGTTATTTTCAAAACCAGAAATTAGGGTTTTGACGGTACTGAGTTGGTGTCTGAAACATTGATGTCCACGATTTAATGTCCACAGCTTAATATCCACGACTTAATGCCCACAAGTTCATGTCCTGAGTGTATATCCACGCGTTCATGTCCACGACACTATGTCCACCACCATATCATCCTTGTAAATTAATCATCGATTTTGACTTCTTATCTAGATTGTTATCCATCACACACCTTCCATTACCAACTGTCCATCTAAAAATGAATTATCTTGTGGATACCGTCTTGTGCAAAATTCAGAAGTAAGAATTGATTTTAATCATCCATTTTGGCATCTTGATCTGGTTTGTTGTCCATATTGAGATGCTCATTACCAGTTATCTATCGAAAGTTGTATATATCAAGTGTTGTTCAAATCAAATATTGTATTGTGGATATTATCTTGTGGAAAGAAGCTGAATTATTGATTTTAGCTTCTTGATATGGTTCTTTGGAACCACACTGAGCTATGTCCATCAGACCGTGTTCAACGAGATGTGTCCATCAGATCGTGTCCATCGAGCTATGTCCAAATTAAAGCGTGATTCTTCCTTTTTTACTAGGTTTCTTGTTTTCAGATCTGGCCGACATGATTGGAGTCGTCTAGGGTGGTCCTGGTTTAGAAAGAATAGATCGGAGTTACAAAGGAATAGATCGGGATTAGAGATGAGTAGATCTGGGTTGCAGAAGAGTAGATCTAGGTTGTAGAGAAGTAGATCCGAGTTGCAGAAGAGTGGATCAAAATTATAAAGGACTAGATCTGGATTCTTTGAAGAAGAATAGATATGGATTGCAGAGGAATAGATTTGAATTTCAAAAAATATAATGAAGAAGATCATAAGAAAAAAAAAAGAAAAAAAGAAACCATGCCTCTGCCCTTGAAAGCCACTATTCGGTTGAAACCCCTTGTTGTAAGGTACAAAGGGCTTTCCTTGCTGAGGGGGGTAGACCTGATCCTTTGGATTCTCAACGTTTGTACTCCTGTATGAGAGATTGTTGTTGGCTTGGTATCCTTGAGAATATCCCTGAGGCCTGTTGTAGTTCTGACCAGCAATCCAGTTAGCTTCTTCTTGGCTCAACTCTAGCTCCTCGGAAACATCTTCAGCTTCTCCCACGAAGTGAACGTGCTTCTGATTTGCAAGCACTAGCTTGTCTATCTTCTCATGGAGGGACTTAATCTCTTTCTTGTGAGACTCTAGCTCAGAACCTCGTGGTGCACGGTCATAATCCTCGGCGTAGTTGCCGTCACTCAATGCCAAGTTCTCTATGAGCTCCATACATTCTTTCACTTTTTGACCAAGGAAGTTACCCTTGCTTGTCGTATCAAGTAGCATTCGGATCTTGGGCAATACTCCTCGGTATATAGTGCTCAAGAGAGTCTCTTCACTGAAGCCGTGGTGAGGACACTGAATGGTATAGTCTTTGAATATCTCCATATCTTCATTGAATGTCTCATTCTGCTTTTGAGTGAAGCCACTTATCTCACTTCTCAACCGAGCTGTCCTGGTGCTTGAGAAAAACTTTGAGAGAAAAGCTTTCTGACATTCAGCCCAAGACGTGATGGTGCCTTGTGCAAGTGTCTTCTCCCATTGCCTAGCCTTGTCACCGAGAGAAAATGGGAAGAGCCGTAGCTTGAAGGCATCTTCTGAGATCCCATTGATCTTGATCATCCCACACACCTGCTCAAAATTATCAAGGTGCTCTAAGTGGTCTTCCATAGCCAGCCCGTGGAATTTGCTATTCTGAACCATAGAGATGAATCCAGGCTTTATCTCGAAATTGTTATTCTGGACTGGAGGAGGAGTGATCCCAAAGCGATTATGATGCATATTAGGAGCATCTCCAGCGCCTATGATCCGTGGGGGTCTAGCTGCGTGGATGGGGTTTCCATTGCCCCTTCCTACAACACCGTGAGCTGGTGGAGGTCCCTCAGGATGTTCTTGCTCAGCCATTGTTGCAAAGTCTACTGACCCGGCATGAACAATCTCCTCAAAGGCTCTAGCTTGCTCTCTTGCTCTTCTTGTTCTTGAATGTCCGAGTTGGTGAATATTGTCCAGGGGTGTAAATAAGTTATTGTGTCCCCTAGAACGTAAATTCATGTACCTGAAAGACACAAGTGTGAAGAGAAAGAGTTTAGTAACAAAACTTAAAGTAAAGGCTTAGTTTTTACTAAACCTCA